AGAGGGACCATTTTCAAAATCAAATACATATTGACCCTCATTTCAGAAATGTCAAGCATGCTGTAAACAAGTTTTCAGTACATCGCATGCTTTAGAAACTGCATGAGAAAGACTGGAAAGGAGGCTTTTCTTTGAGGGTAGTCAGCTTTAGAATAGCTTATTTTTAAGTGCAAGATACAGATTATAGCCAACAAAGAAAGGGATGTGGTCATCAAAAGCAGAATTATCATTTTAGCTTCCCACCATTGACACAAACAGACTGACATTTCCTGTTGAGCCTAAAAGAAACAACATGTTGGCACTTCCTAAACTACCATCTGTACAACATGCATGACACTTGTACTTCAAATGTTTCTTTGTGCATCATAAAGCATGTGTACCAGTGTCCTTTGCACTGATAACAATATGTGCTGGGTGAGCTCACAGTATCTTAAAGAAGGAATAATCTAATCCAAGAAACTGGTACAGTGTGAATCTGAGGTGGTGGAAAAAGTGCTACTTTTTGCCTTTACATTGGTGCTGGACTTGATTTTTTTTTTTTTTTTTTAATTATTAAAATGTATTTTTCATCTATTTGCAAAGGCTCCTCTACTTGCAACCAAATGTAATGATACCAGTACCAAATGTGACTAATGTTTTACATAATGGGAGGTAGGAACATTGCAATGGATTTTAGAGAGGGTATGGCTAAACTGAGTCAGGCTCTGACGGTGAGTATTTAAAGGTTCTATAAACCATGAGCTTTCTGACTTCTTCATTCACAGAGACAATTCAGAAAAATATTCTCTCTCAAGCAGCCATTATATTCCTTTCTTTACACCACGGAGAAGAGCACTAATTTTAGTTAGAATCTGTGGAATATAGTTTGTAAATTAGTGCTACATTCAGATGACTGTCATGGAATTATGACTCTTCCAGGGTGGAAAAATAGGCATTTTGGTAACAGATCTATCCAGAATTAGGCAACAATAACTATTCAAAGCATTAATTGTGTGGATTTCTGAAAACCAGAAATGTCTGATTAAATTAAAAATGCTCAGAACTTCTTAACCTAAGATCCATTGTCACAATGTGAGGAGCAGAAGCCCATGGAGCTCAGATGAAAGTGGCTGTTGTGTTTCCGGAGCAGGACCGCAGGCCACCACCACCCCATTTGGCACCGCTTTACCGGTCACTTGTTTTCTGCACTGAAGACACACAGTATCATCATGAAGAAGGGCAAGATGTCATCCAGTCTAATTTCATATAAGCAGTCTGCCCTGCACTTGTCTTCATTATACACAATTGTTAAATATTATGCAAAAACAACATAACACGTTTCCCGCTTCCGATTCATCTTCCATAGGTCCTTTTTTTTTTTCAGAGGAACAATAAAGGAAAGAGATTCATCCTGTCTTCCTGTTATTACAAACATGGGAGTAATAATGCATGGTGCACATGCAGCCTGGTAATCGTTAGGTGCTAGCCATTCCCTTCTGTTCTTAATCCACAAATGTGGTAACGTGACATCTCTCAGTGTGGGAGTACGAATCCTCAGCTCAAGCTGTTGAGATGCTGCCTTACAGTGTCTAGTAGGTGCACGGAGGCTGTGTATTTCAAAGAAGCCTCAAATCCTCAGGATGGGCTTCTGTAGACTAGCAGTCTAAAATCTCTGGGCCAAAGTTTTTACAAATGCCCCCTTGCCACTCAAATTACAGGCACAGATCCATCCTAAAGCTCCATCTAGAAGGCATGGAGCCCATTCTCAGCTGATGTAAGTTGGCCCTGCTGCACTAAAGCCAGAGAAGCCAGGGGTTGTTCACACCAGCTGAGAAAGTGGTCTGAAATCATGATAACAGTCACCAGAAACTGCTTTTAAAAGCTGTTCTCCACCATGATGGAAAATGTAAGGGAAAGTACTAAAAGCTTTTATGTTTCGAATTTCTTTGACAAGATATTTTTCTGAGGACTAAGATGACCGTTACTCCTGAAATGAACATCAAACCATACAGTGCAATTCTGGACCTGTCAGTTTAACATCTGCAAAGAGAAGAATCATAGCGAGGCTCAGGCAATACTTTCGAAAGCACAGTTTAGCCAGTGGAAAGCAGTATCGATTATACAGAGAGAAAAGTGTGCTTTAACTAATGTATGAGGAGTCTGTAAGAATTAATCTTAGTGTAGACAAGCAAAATGGAGTGGACAATATATGAAAAAAAGTATTTACGCAGCTTACTGAGTTTTGACCAGTAAGGTACAGAAAAAACCTGGGTACCTTTCTGATACAGAAGGAACTGTGTTTCAAATGGCTTGAAGAAGGGAATGTTATCTCAAATAAAGAGTGGTTCTAACTAAGAACATTTTAAACAGCAATTAAATTGTCACTGAACTGACTTTTGAGTTTGGTCTAGTTTTCCTAAGATTATATTATCATGGTCTAAAGTATGACTTGGATTATCATCTTGCTATGCAAATGAGGAAGAAGAATGAAAAACAACTAAATAAAATCTTTCTTTGAAAATCTGTATTAGCTGCCAGGAGGTTTGGCCTGGGCACACTATAATAGCAGAACGCACACGGTTACTGGGTCTAAAGGGCTAGCAGAGAAGGAACAAACACACCTTTGGCTTTAATGCATCTGCCTTCTGGGACACCCCAACTTCTATGTTGTCCAGAGTGTCTTAGACACAGAAAGGCAGGAGTGAAAGACAAATTACTTCGGAAATTAGGAGGAAGAATTTTGGCTTTGAGGGGTGCTTCTGCATCAAATCTGTCACAGTTGAGTCTGGCTGAAGAGGCTCACATAAAAATCTCTTTTCTTAGTATTGTATCCTAGGACTGTAGTCACCACTCGCCCAAGAGCAAAGTCTGTCTGGGAGCTTCCCCTGATCCAGCTTTGTTTAGCTCATTAAAGTTTCAGCATTTTGAGGGCCCTTTTGCTGCTCCTGAGTACACCTCTAAGCACCTGAATTTCCAAGTCTTCCCTTTCGTCTTTCATGAGTGTTTTGCCTAGAGTTATTGCCTCTCTTTCCTGCCCCTCCCTTTAGTTTTCTAAATCCTCCTTGGCCACAGTGTTGCGTTTAGTGTCAATTATTTTAATTTATTCAACAGACCAAACAAGCTTCAATTTCACTTGGTATTTCATCTTCCTTGAGAGATTTATACCTCCAATCTCTGATAGATTACTGAGGCAAACAATGATTTCAACTAAGAAAATTACAGTAAATGATGCTGATTCTGTCAATAACATAGTTTGATACTTCTCAGAGATTGCACTGTTTCATTCAGTGACCTCCCATTCCACATACTTAAAAAACAACATTCTACTTCTTATGATCACTTGTCAATCTTTCATTCAGTATCTACCTTCTGGTTTTCTTTCTAAAAAAAATGAAGTTTTTATAACTACAGGCGAGTTATCTGAAGAAAGAAACAGTGATCAGACTAATATCATGGGCAGGATTATGTGTGGCCTGGTAAGTATATATTAAGACATACCAAGAATTAACACATGCAGTGTATGTGAAGGACTGCAGACATACAATTATTTCTGCTTTCAGTGGAAGAATTTTGTAATATACTGACATTCTGTATCCCTATGAAAGATTTGGAACAGTAAGTTAAGACAATATAAATTGAAGTTTTACAGTGTTACATAATTGCATTTTATATAATACCCATCATACATTTCTGGGTTATTCTATTGTTATGTGGTTGTGACACATTTCTCTCTGCCAGCATTAAAATGGCAGAAAGGAAAAAGCAAAAATGCAGCAGAAAAAAAGTAACTATGAAAGGTGGTCACCTCTCAGTAGAACAAAACATACTGCTTTGTGGTGTAACACTGAACAGAATTGTCATCAACAAGTCTAGCTGTGTATAACATAAGCTTTCTGGTTTCAGGACAAATCCACGAGACAGCTCTGTCTCATGCTTTTGGGCGGGCAGGGGTGGGCAGCCCAAACCTTTATATATGCAATTCTGCTCTGGCAAGTGGAGAACCAGGAATCAAACCTCTTTTGCCAAAATCTTGAATTCGTATCTATCTGTGCTCTGTTAGGCTATTCTTTTGAACATTTTCACAGAGCAGAGATGCTTTGCAGAGGCTGAAATACAAATTCACAAAAACTTTTGTGATTCGCCCAAATATACAAAGGAATATAGAAATACAGATGACCCAACCACAACTTGTGCAATCCGTTTTCTAGTTAGTCTGTTTAATTCAATCCAATATATTTCTGTGAAGCAAAACCACTATTATGCTGAATAATTTCCTGATAGTGCAGGGATATCTAAATGGACTCATCTTTTCTAAAAGGCAGCTTCACCATCTGTTCTGGCCTTTTATTACAAATAGAGAGGGAACCTAATTCACTGCATCAGCATGTAAGGCCTAGCATCAGAATGATTTAGATGTATGTGTGTGTTCTTTATGCACCTGGTATGTTTTCTCACATACCAAACACAAATCAGTGGGAAGACCTGTCTCTTGTAACCTAATAAATTCCCTGATCTAGTGCCTTTATTCCTTTCTCACAGCAGCAGAAATTGATGGCCAGTAGTTTGCATTTTATTAGGACAATTATGACCCTGTTGATGTCCTGCAGGAGTTATATCTTTATTGGGCTGACATTTTGTGATACCATTTACCTCTCTATGGAAAATGAGCCTCGATTCCTATTCTTTCTCTCTTGCTGGGCCTACATATGCTTCATCATGGACAAAAACCTTGTAAGAGATGTGCTGAGAATGTGTCAGACTGCTGAAAAGCTCTGTCCTTCCCCGAAGGATGCCATACAATCTCTTGACCATTTAGAGAAGGAACATATTCTCTGCAGTGTAGCACAGGACCAGAAATTTGAAAACGCATCAGACTGCACCATTTTTACTGCTTCAGGTGAACAAATTTTGCAGTAGGTTAGGAAAGGAGGTGCAAGTAACCACATCTCATACTCTCTATACCAGGAGACTGATTGCATGTTCAATGCAAACGTTAATTCAAAGAAACCCTCAGGGCCTACCTGTGTTGTAGCCCCTCCCAAGCGCTGGCCAGGGCCGGTGATTCTTCCAAAGGTTGCCCAAATACCAATCGCTCTGGTTCTCCACCAAGCCAAGAACCTGCTGCCCTGGAAAAGAGCAAATTGCAAAAAGATCATGAGACAAAAGACAGTCAATCAATGGAAAACAAACACGAAATCTGGAGAGGGACAGCCAGTGGGAAGAGAAGACAGAAGTTGGGGCGCTGCCTTCCTTTCACGCATTGGGAAGACGCCTGCTTATGTAACCGACAGCAAGCCTGGCACAGCAAACTCAGCACGGCTCATTTCTTCCCTTCTCCCCTGGCTAGTCTGAGTAATTAAACACTGTGGGAACCTTTGTCATGCTGACAAAAATATATCACCCAGACAAATCTGAATGCTGCTTGATTTTGGAATACAATGATGGAGAATCCTCCTAGTGAGAAATAAGTGCTGGTAAAATTATCATCTAATATGAAGATCTGTTCATACTCTGATGGAGATAATATAATTGAAGAACAAGGTTCAGTATAACAAATTATTCTCTTCCCGTGCTACCCCCCACTAGTTTCAGGGATTTTTTTCTCAGTCACAAAGGAAGTCCCTTTTGCTTAGGAAAACACTGGATTTTAAGAGTTTACCTACATAAGAAAGTTGCACTGTTTTAATTTAAGAGAGTAATTTAAAAGTCATTTAGGTAAGCCTGTGTGGAACGCTGCATAGAAATTATGATTTCAGCTTTAGATGGGCTTATTTTGGTTTAGCTTACATTGATTAGCAGCTGGCTTCAGCTAGAGTAAAACGTGTTTTCAATCAAATGTGTCTAGAAGGTTTGCACTGCTTAAAAATAAACTGAAAAGTGAATGTTTGTATAGATAAGGACTTAATTATCTATCCTGAAATGTAGCTGTATAAAATGTAAATAAGAGAAGTGATTGAAATGATGCTCTGGTGATGGAGGATGGAGGGAAGGGGAAAACTGCATTTGGATCAAGTCAAAGAAAGGAAAGGGAACAGAGGGACCTGCTCAGAGAGGGCACTAAGACTGGGACTGGAAATTATTTTGCAACATTCTGATAAAGCAATTAAGCATCGTGCTCCGAAGGCACATTTTCAAATCCCAGCTATGCTCATCAAACTGGGTGTACAGTCCCAGCAGTACACTGAAAGCATTAAATGATCATTATATGTTGCTTGTATAGGACCATACCTGTATTACTAAAATTTCAGTATGGCCCAAGACAAGAGTGGGCTGAGAAGCAAGACATAAATACAGAAATGATTAATTAAATCTTACGATCAGCTAGGAAGACATTAGGATAGGTCAGGTGATTGTGATACTCTCCTGCAATATCTCTAATCCAGTGGAACATCAGTCACCCCCACATGTGTCTCAAATGCTGTTCCAAAGAGTGTAAGCAGCAGCAAGTGGTCAACGCATATAACAAATAGATCAGGACATTATGAAAGCATTAAAGGAGTGAACGCAAAGGAATCTAGGAATAACCTTGAGAGATTACCAACTCCACTCCACACCACTGTTCAGGATCATCCTACTCCCACCTAATCACAACATGCCAGTCCTCACCAGACCTTGTTTTCTAAGGATGTCTCTCCTTTTCCATTATATATTGTACATTAGATATATATATATATATGTAATTGTTCACATTATTCACCATAACTCATTTTTTCAAAAGGTGGAAAATCCTGGGGAGAGCAGAAAGGATCATATAAAAGACCACCACACATGTATCACCCCATTGGTGCTACTGAAAACCGGTAATATTAACAGCATGCAATACACAAGAGAATAAAGGAAATGACAAGTTAGAGGTAGATGCCTCCTAAGAAACTGATGATTTGTTCATACAAATAAACTGTAGCATCTCTTAACCTGTGAGACACATGGAACACACCAGACAGCACATGAGGTGCCACAAACCGTATCTTGTGCGGAAATATGAAAGGGATCTCAACTGGCTGAAACAAGTCGTAGCAAAAAAAGGCTGAAGCGCACAACTGAAACCAGGATTTGTTGATTCTGTGCTGGAAGACTGTCTCTTCTTTATAACCACTCCCTTACAGTTGAGGTAGAACAAATCAGAGTAAGAAACTACCATGGCTAGTAAAGGATGAGAAAAAAAATAAAAAATGCGGGTGCAGCTGGGCTGGAATGGATTGGCACAGCTGGTAGGAAGAGAGTGACCCTGTCCATACATATTCTAACAGCGCAGTCTGCAGATCTTTCTCAGGATAGTACTGCTAACATCAAAAGAAATGTTAGAATTCCATTTGCAAGAAGCAGATACTGAACTTCCTTACCATGGAGCAGCAATCTGCTTTCATTATTTTAACCCCATGCATTTTCCAACAAGCCACAGAGTTCAGCCTTCAAACTGATGAATGATAAAAAATGAACAAACCTTGCTGCTTGTTAATGGTTTTCCCTTCCCACCTACAAGTCCAAAATCTCAGTTCTGACAATGTACCTCTGAAATACTTACTTCTCAGTTATTATTTCTCATGCTACTATAACGTGAAAAGGCTCATTAAATTATGTTTGCATGTATTTATTGTGGCTGTATCATTTCCTTCCTCTTTTTCCCTTTATTTTTGAAGATACCAGAACAAATCCTGCTCTCACCAGTATTCCTTGAGGTTTGATACGGGACATGGATAAAGGCAGAAATTAACATCATGTACACTTTAGGGCTTAGATCCATGGATCAGATAATGTGACTTACTTAATGTGTATCAACTGAGCTGGAATAACTGCCTGTACATGTCCTTTTAGCTTGTCACAAATACAGAGTACAATGTGTTAGCTAACACACTTTAGTTTGCTTTTGCAATGGCCTGGGAATGCACACATGTTCACGGGCTGTCCTAGGGTAGAGCATTATGCAACTTGTCAGGCTGTTGTAACTCTTGCTGGTGTCTAAAAACCTACTAGGCAGATGTGATGGCTTGTCTCCCAATTCACCTTGGAGAAAGTTATGAAGATAAGTTTAGTATCTTCTCTAGTTACATTTCTGTTTTCTCTAGGCTGGAATAGTGTTTCTGTCTCTGCCAAAGAAGAATATATTTTTATTTCCCTTTACATTGTCTCTATGATCTCGACTTAGGGCAGAAGTGATCAGGAAACCAGAACTTCAGCTGCATAGCAAATATTAATGGTTCCAAAAAACGTTTTCATTAGTATATAAAAAAGAATCAGTATAAAAAAAAAGAAATTCAGAAACATTACCTGGAAAAATTTCCCCAAATATTTTGATCTGAAGATATCACAATAACTACATCTAAATGTACAACCCTCCTCATTTCAAATAATATCAATGTGATACATAATACAGATACATAATATATACCACATTATTCTATGTATCTAAAAGTTCAAACAAAGTAGAATCGTAAGTTTTGCCCTTCCAACTTTGAACAACTAAAAATCTTTCACTCAAAGCTTTCATCATAATTTTTTTATATTAATCAATCATTGTGAGAATATTTGTCCAGTGTATCTGAACGTCACCAGTTATTTCATTTAGTTACTACTTTTTCAAATGCATCATGAAGTTACAGAAATGAGGCACTGGCCAAAGCAATGCATGGTATTGGGCAGGCACAATAACTGCTCCCCTTGCCCATAGTTCTCTGACCATCGATCAGCCCCAACCCATCCCCCTGTCACTCTTTGTGCCTTTCCTTCAAGGTGCCTGCAGTTCTGTGGAAATTTTCACCAGCTTGATTTCACCTCTGATCATAATGCAATCTGAATTCCGATTTTCTGAGAAGAAAGACTAGAGTTCCTTCCGCCATGGCTTTTCATAAAAGGCAAGCATAAAAGTTATGTGAGTTATTTTTCCAGCAGTTGAGAACACAGTGGCTACCACAATGAATTGGAATCGTTCAGCATTCTGAGCTGCCTGCTTCTTCTTCCAAAGAGTTATTATAATAAAATACCATCCCTAACAGCAAAAGCTTTGTCATTGTTTTCTGCGCTGGCCCTGCAGTTATGATTAAGTGCACTTCGCTCACTCTCTGTTACACCAGGCACAAGTTAGCTTATGAAAATGAAGCTGTCTTTCTAACTTCTTCATACATCACCACTAACAGCCAGACAACAGAAAACAAGGCTATGATTCTGGCATGACCACGGTGAAAAATTACTGAGCAGGCAGAATTACAGCTGGATTGCTGGGAATGGGGCTGCACGCTGCCTGGCTGCGGGACGAGACTCCTCCAGAAGGCAGCTGCCCAGCTGCAGCATCTCACACGGCACGGCTCTCGCATGATGAGAAGTACTTCTCTCCTTGCAAAAGCCTGGCTGTTGCTGGGAAGAGGTTTCCATGGAAAAACAGATACTTCTGAGCTTGACAACTCAATGCCTTCGATTCTGTTTTCACTTCATAGATTTTTTGCTGGCTAATGGAGGGGAAAGCATGATCCTCTAATTCAGGCATTGAAAGGGACTCCAGATCTCACCTCAGCTCCTAGCTCTGATACCAATTTATTCGGTAACACCGGGCAGGTCACATAACAGCCTCTTGCTTGATTCTCCCTTAATAAAAATGGGGTTAATGATAACTTTTTACCCCTCTCCCATTTTGCCTGTCTCACATACTGCAAATTTAAGTCCTATGAGGTAACAGCTGTGTGCTACTTTCTACTGGAAGCATAACAGCAGCTGCACGTGGCCAGGCTGAAGCTCCAGCCAGCACAGTATTGTGTCTCCAGCGGCAGGGAGTAGCAGCTGTGCACTTCTTAATAGTGGTCCTCGGGCCTCCCGTGACTTGTGGCACATCACACATCTGAAGAAGTACCAGCTTTTATTTATGTTGAGTCTGGTATCAGCTAGTTTCCTTTGGTGCCCAGTATAATCTTGGTGCCTGTGAACAGTATTTTCATATTCTCTCCCGATTTTTCACCAGTTTTAGAGAATTCTGTCTTCTCTAGAGTCTTTGGTACTCATGCCTTGAGGTATTTTGCTACTACAAACAATAACAATAATAGTAAAAAATTATAGTTGTTCCAAATACTTTCAACATCTTCTTTAGTGGAAGCCTTTTTTTTTTTTTCCCCTTTTCTTTTGTCTTAGAGACTATAGT